ATATATATATATATAATATTGCATTAAATAGCAAAATACAGAATGTTGACGGTACCATAAAAAATGGTGGTTAGATCTGGTTGTATTACTTTTTACATGTTCTGTTACTGCTTTGGTATTTTTTAGAGGCCAAAACAATGTATTCAAGATTCGAAACCAGGAAATATAAGAGTTATGTATTTCTAAATACCCAAAGCCTCAATCTTTGAACAAAAACAAATACGGTATGAATGAAAAGGATACGAGGCAATGCACATGGCTTCCTTTTGGAAGAAAGGGTAAAACAAATAGTGGCAGCAAGTGACCTATTGTGTACATCATTCTGCCTGCTGTTTCTCGATTAATACCGTATACATTGTATTTAAAAAACCCTGTTTCTGAAGTGTTTTATTACCAACAGGGTAATATATACTCTCGACATAAGAGCCGCTTATCTTGAAAAAAAATCAGGTTTGGTGCAGCGCTTGCTTGAGAGCTGCCCTTATTCTAGTATTTACGGTATTTAAAATAGCGATATGGGAAATCCTAACAATAGTGCCGAACTATTAAATTTAAATCAATAACGCTCCTGCATGAATTTCATTGGTTTTAGCTCTGTCTAGATAATCACATATTTTTGACAAAAGAAAAAAAAGGAAAAAAAAACAAAAAAAAAACTGTTGTATGCCTATAGCCATGATGTGCCTATATATGGTCATTTGCTGCCATCATGGCTATACTTGGCATGCCACACAAATGTACAGTAGCGGTGGAAGCGAGCCAACAGGTGACAAACACATTTACAACGGCTCGCTCTTTATGATTACAATACACATAAAAAATTACATAGATCTTTAAAAAAAATTACAAACACCAATGCACAGAAATTTTAAAAGATATATTTTATATGCCATAGCGTACGGTATTTGTTTCGACGCATGACTCAAATCAGTGGTTCACATTTTAGTCCAGTCGAATTTATGATAACATAATGTAGCAAAAACAAAACAGCGACCAAATTCCGAAAGATTATACCTTATTCTCAAAGTACAATGACGTTTACGATCGTTTTTAGTTTTCGATACGGAAGATAATATGTCCTGTGTTAAACTAAGCCGGATTCGCACTGTGTCGTATGACCATCGGCTGACGAACCTAACTCCACTCCCAGAGAGCGTCGCCGTCTGCTGATTGTCAAATAACGGATCGTCATTAATAATGATCCGTTGTGCGCGCGTCGTGGTGTTGCGTTCTCTAGAATCGCGTCGGCCGAGGCAATTGAGTGCCCTGCTTAAACCAGTCACAATAAAGCATTATTATACCATATTGACATTGACAAAAACAATTATAATAATCAATAATGCAAGTTTTTTAACCATTCATAAGTTAGCAATGGTATGATATCACTTCAATATATATTAGACAATGCAAAGGACAATCAGTCTTTCAATTTGGGGTCATGTTGTTGTAGGTAGGCCTATTGGTTTACACCGGATATTACTATGTGCAATTAAGTTATATACAATATTATAGTTTACTATCCTGAATATAAAATCAACATTTAGAAATACTCTTATAGTTTAAGGTTAACCTTAACCCTAACTCAATAGTATAACAAAATATTCGAAATTTCAATAAATAGGTTGAAATGTTGTTGTATACGGGATCTTTATTGTTTGACCCTTCGATTGTTAATCTCAACAAGCTCACATATGTTTATCAACTTAGACAAATTATAACTTTCTGTGTTACGGATATCCTCTACGATATGCAAGGACGATCATAGGTAAAACACGGTGGAAAGCGTTTTGTCTATCAGAACAGCTTAAAAGTAGCCTCAAATGTCCCAAGTCCTCTGTGGGAAAGACAGGTTCGGCCGTATTCAGACAGCATTGTCCAACTTTAAATAGACATCTTAAAGCTAGCCACCAATAATCATGAACCTCCAACAAAAGTGAGTAGCAATCACCAATATGCACACGCTGATCGTCTTTAGAGAGATAGTCGAACCTTTAAAAAACTCTACCTTCAACAATTTTATATTTTTCAGTAAGTCCCCGCTTATTTGTCTCTTCATGTGTATAATACAAGAATCACTGATCATTAGTAGTAAAAATACAATGATTAAACATCTAAAAAACAAGTACCGTATATAACAGCTCAGTTGTTGAAATGGTGCTCTAATATTATCTAAAGTCGTACACTCACTGCGTCATACGTCGACGAATCAATTAAAACGATACGTTGCGCGCGCGTCGTTGCGTTCTCCGTAGAATCGCGACGGCCGACGATCGTCTTGTGCAGTAAGTACCCGGCTTAATGAACAAAGGTCAGGTTTTCATGGTCCAGTCATGGAGTTAGTGTGTAAATAATACCCCTAATCGGATTGAGCTCCAATTTTACAGGAACTCATGTGACATTCTAAATCTAAATATTTTACAATTAATTTATAAGGGAAAGGCCATAGTTCATAGGTCAAAATGTCAAAATGATTTTTAACATGATCCGATTGAGCTCAATCATATTTTTTTTTAAATACTCTCAATCACACATACGAGATTACATATACCACTTATTTTTGTTTTTACCTCGTATCTTCTAAGTTAGGATTGATTCATATGAGAAGGTTTTTTTTTTACACTGATTACGATCTTCACAACAGTAGAAACATATTTGTGAAAATTAAATGAGTCTGGTGTCTTAATTTTGGTTTCTCATTAATTTCATTATTCAAGACAAACTGTATTTGCCACAATGAAGTGAGCTTTAGTGACTTTAAGAAAGCTGGAAAGCTTTACATAATGATATTAATAATAAAGTATTGCTTAAAGGTTTGCATGACGAAGAAATAATATATATGTTGAAGCTTGCGGTACACCACGTAAGTAGTTCTGAAAAGAACTGTTGTTGAGAAAATCTCGACGTTTCGATTGAGATGCTTCAATCGTCTTCAGGAGAATAATATCAGACACTCCAAACAGGGAAATACTTATATGTTTGGGTAGAGAGGCTGGATGGTGGTAAACTGACCAATGGGTGAAAGGCTAAAACACAAGCTGCAGGATGGTGATTGGATGGATAAACTGACCAATGAGAAGACTAAAACAAAAGCCATTGTTCACGAAAACAAAACAAAAAATATAAATATATATGATATTAATAATACTTAATGATAATACATAATAATATTGATAATGATGGATAATAAAATGATAATAATAATAATAATAATAATAATAATAATAATAATAATAATAAATATAATGATGACGTTAATAATAAATGATGTGAAAATGATACATGATAATACATAATGATATTATTTAAAATATTAATAATGAGGTGCAATTTTTAGCGTTCATTTTAATTCTTTATATTTTGCTTTTGTAGAGTTATGACATCAACACCAGAAGAAGAAGATAACCATACAGAACATTTAATTATAATATCAGTGCGCTACATCGTCGGTCTCATTGGTATCTTTTCCAACGTCTTCGTAATGATGATATTTCTATGGGCCAAGATCCACAAGAAATCCTTCACCCACTTGCTTCTTCTGCACCAGTCGGTAATTGATGTCATTGCGAGCTGTTTGTTTCTAGTCTACTACACCAACGAAACACCAGACGGACTCCGCGGTACAATATTCTGCAAAACGCGTTCCATCTTCTGGTCATTTGCATTTGCGTCAACATACAATCTCGTCATCTTGACCATAGAACGCTACATTGCTGTAGTTCATCCAATGACGTACAGAGAAAAGATCAACGGGAAGAGGAACAAACTTTACCTTGTAATCCCTCACATTGTCGGTATTGCAATCGCCTGCCACCTCGCAATTCTTGGCGACACGAATAATGCAGGGAAGTGTTACTTTGATTACCGTAGCCCGACATCACAATTAGCATCGGGTCTTTTCATTTTTATCATTTCTTGGCTAATACCGTCTCTGATCATGGTCGTCTGCTACACCTACATTTTAAAATCATTTTACTATAGATTGAGACGTGGTGGTTCTAAAGCTACACCAGGCCGTAGTGGATCAAAGTATTTACAGACGGCCCAGCGTAGCCTAACGTACACGTTACTGTTCGTCGCCATAGCATTTTTGCTTTGCTGGACCCCCAACTACGTTCTCTATCTGTCGTACACAATCTGCCGGTGTTTCGAGTTCAACTCTTCAGTTGCTCACGAGATTACAGTTATCCTCGATGCCGTTAATCTCATGATTAATCCCATTATTTATGCTTTCAAGTTTAATGATTTTAAATTGGCGGTTAAGAAATTTTATAACAAATATTTTGACAAAGGCAACAGAAAAGATGACAAAACCGAAGCCGAATCGACAGGCGTTACGCCTATCTCGGCAACTACTGAAGCCTAGCAGGCCTATCACAAGATTTATATATATATATACATATCTGATCTAGATGTGTATAAGAGACAGATATTTAATCAAATGATTATTATTATTCCTATGGCGCTTTGCGTCAGGAGAAATAATACGAATTGATGTTTGCTCACAATTATACCACAATGACCTAAATCTAGTTTGTAACTTATTTATTTCGGGTTCCCCTGAACTTAAGTATCACTTTTTTCTAGATGATCTTGAAATTCATTATGAACACCAAATTATAACAAACCCAATTTTAACTCATTTTAATTATGAAATGGCAGGAAAAATCTTTAAAAATATTTAACAAATATTATTAAAGCATGGGAAGAACGTAACAAAATCTATAATATGTTTTCATAAATAAATTTGTTGGAAAAGAAAAGAGAAGAGGAAGGGGATGAAGAGGGGGAAGAAAAAGAGGAAAGAGATAGGAGGAGGAGGAGGAGGAGAGAGAGGGGAAGAGAAAAGAAAAAAGAGAGGAAAAGGATAGGAAAGGGGAATGGGAGGGAAGAGAGAAAAAAAAAATATTATTATCATTTTTTTCTGTCTTTTTCTTTTCTTTTCTTTTTTTTTCTTAAGTTTATGTTTCTTTTTAGTTTATTCAGAAAAAAAGTAATGCATTCTCCGGGAGATGAAATCGGCCACCGAGTTTGCGCTTGATGAATCCGATCCCTAAGTACTTATTACTATTTTTATTTCTACTGATATTATATACCGTAATATGATAGAAATCCAGTAATCTATTAGTGGCCTAAGATCTAACAGTAACTCACCTTTAAAGATAATCTGTAAAAGTTACCTAAAACGTCATGCACAATGACAAGTACAAACGACAGACAGTGAACAACTATTTTTTGCTTTACTGTTTTATTAAGCCTATTGTTCTTTAAAATGAAATAACCTTAAGGTACAGATTATTCTTATTCATTTGCAACCCTTCTTGATTAAAGTTAACGGTTGATGTACCCTTTCTTCAAAGTTCACTCCTTCATAATTCACTTATTACTCACTATTATCCCAAATACTATAATTTGAAATAAGGGTATTTCAGTGTAATTTTGGGTCATTACTTTACAATCTCAATACTATTTTCCGGTTCGGCCGCGCACCAGTCCGGCCGCGAGATATTCAATGCAATTCCGAAATAAGGGTTATTGTATGGAACGCCGAGTAGTGTAATGAATGCGTGAATTAGATTACTTCACATACAGTGCAACGTGGCCGTACTGTACAATGAAATCATCCGTCATAAAATCGAATTGATGAAATAAAGAGTAAATAAAAACGTATTGTTTGTTTTTACTCCTACTTAGAAGAACATAATACCGTTTAAATATGTAATTTAGTACATTATTATTAAGATTGATTGTTTTACGGAGTAGTTTTAATAGCATAATTTTTAGTTAAGAAGTGTTTTACATTCATTTTATCCTGCAAAATATTCTAAGTTGAATCTTTATTACTTGGAAGAAATTTAAGTTAACTATAACTGTAACTTATTAAGAATCTTGATTTGTATTTTGGAATAAGTATATAATATAATTAATTAATCCTGCATTATAATTATATATGTATGATAACAAGCGTACCTATTACAAGACGATTATACGTTCCAGAAAAAAAAAGTGATTGATTGGTTACCGTATTTAAATAACTTAATTTACCTCATAAACAAACACGATGATATAAGTAGGCCTATTATTGCTCGTATCAAATAGTGGTAATTAATAATAATTAAAATAAAGTAATTTCATCAGAGTTATCATTAATTAGGTGTAAACGACTGAAAAACATTATACTTGGAAATAACGCGTTTAATCTAGGCATGAAATCAAGTAAATTGCTTTAAATAGGTATCAAGCTGCCAGTACTAAGTTGCCTAGTAACAATTAATTCAGTGAGAAACGTTCCCGCAAGTAGGGTCCAATGATACTCTTGGGAGAATAAAGACACACAGTTTTCTACGCCGCCAAGTCAAGAATGAATATTATCAGAAACGAAGTCCTTGTACCCTGCCAATTCAGGAATGGAGTTGTTCGCCTATATATAGGCCTATATAATAGGGTCTGTGGCCATGGCCTATACGACGTGTTGTTTTTTGTGTATTAATTATTTTAAATAAGCTTAATTCATACATTGATTATGAACATTAACCTTTGTGTGTAACAGTATTATGGCTCGTTAAACCAGGTTGAAATTTTAATCAATTGGTGAATTCGCTTTGGGTGCTTCATCAATCGGCACACACTCCGTTCTGCACGAATAGGCATGTTTTGGCCCTATCGTAACCACGGAAACGTGTATTTCTATTGTTATCTTCTAAATGAAGGGCGTTTACAGTTAAAGTTCTTGATATTAGGGCGATGTATTTATTTATTTTTATTTCTTTTGTTATTTTTTTAAAAATGTTTCTAAACTTAGTAATACACAGTATCATTGAAAAAACAATGCCGGTGGGCAGCCTGTCAGCGTCGGTCGGAAATGTTGAGTGCCGGACGGGGCATCAATAATGTGATTTTTTTTGTGGCGTCTATATACTTCCTACTTCAAATCAATTAATCAATCAATCAATAATTTAAGAACATAGGCATAGACATGATATACAACGAAACATAAAGCATATAATAACAATCGACTGATTTGGCAGTATATTAACATTCTTCTTCTTCCTCTTCTTCAATAATATAAGCATCGACAATAATATCCTTTGGTTATTTTTTTTACATGTAAATGCATAATAATGTACATTCGTTTGTTTCAAATAGATAAAACGAAATATATAATAATAATAATAATAATAATAATAATAATAATAATAATAATAATAATAATAATAATAATAATAATAATAATAATAATAATAAGGTAAGAACTTATATAGCGCCATTTAAAAAACCGAAGTAATTATCCGTGGCGCTTCATGTTATTGTTGGAATAAGTGCGTTTTGAGAGATTTTTTAAATAAAGCAATTGATGTTGATTTTTTAATGTGAAGTGGTAGTGCGTTCCAGAGTGTGGCTGCAGCAAATGAAAATGATCTGTGTCCGAAGGTCTTTGTGTTGGTGCGAGGGACAGAAATTAAATTGAGATCAGATGAACGTAGGGAACGGCCAGGCACATATTTGGGAAGAAGTTGATTAATGTATGCGGGTTGATTGAGAGTCAGTGACTTATAAGTCAGTAATCTTATACACATCT